GATTTCTCTGTGTACCCCAGGCTGGCCTGGAACTCAGAGATCTGCCTTACCTCTGTCTCCTGAGCGCTGGGATTAAAGGTGCCACCACCGCCCGGCACTTTAGAAGTCTTGATCCAGGCTGATGAAGCCAGTCTAACCCGAGTTTCCATCCTCACCTCTTGGTGGTTCCTTTCTCCCCCCCCCCCCCCCCGCCCCCGACACCTCAGAGCCCCTCCTCTTAGGCTGCAGTTCCCACCTGCCCCACAAGTGTGCACGGACTGTGCAGTGTGCAAACTGTGCGGCTGTGCGAGGCTGCCTGTGCCTGGGGGTAGATTTTGGGTTGGAAGGAACTTAAACCTCAATGTTTCCCCCGTTGTGGTTTTTAGGTTCCTTTAGCCCTGTTGCCACCCTCATCCCCGCCCCTCCCGCGCCCACCTTCACCAGCACTGGGAAGCCTCGGTTGTAGACATCTCTGCTGATTCTGAGATCCTCTCTTTCCTCTGAATATATGACCCCCAACAAGCAAAGGGATGGACAGTGACCTCCAAAGTGCCTCCCAATTTTATTGGGGTGACCATAACATCTCCTTTGCCACAGTGAACATGGAATTTCTGCTCTGTCACATAGCTGTTTCAATGAGCAAGTACACAAAGCCTGTGGTAGATACCTCACTATAGCAATGTCACGGCCCACAGGATGAGATGGAGGAGAGGGATGAATCTCCAACCGAATCTCCAACCCACTCAGAGCCACAACTCTTCTGGTTGACGTAGTAACCCTGTCAATGAAGGAATGCTGTGCCCATTTGACAGATGTGGACACTGAGGCTCCCAGAACAGAAGTGATCCTTCTCTCTATCCCACAGCCTGGTACTCCTAGGCTGTGCTTTTTTTTTTTTTTTTTTTTTTTTGTATTCCATCGGTCGGTCACCTTGGATCACCTGGAAAAACATGAGGTAAAAAAGCATAGACTTCAAGCCAGGCAGCAGTGGCGCACACCTTTAATCCCAGCACTCGGGAGGCAGAGTCAGGCAGATCTCTGTGAGTTCGAGGCCAGCCTGGTCTACAGAGTGAGATCCAGGAAAGGCGCAAAACTACACAGAGAAACCCTGTCTCAAATACCAAAAAAAAAGTACAGACTTCAGCTGTCAAACAAAGGGCTTTGTTTTGACATTTGCATCTTTAAGGACACAGCCTTAAACCCAGAAGAGCTTTGAACAAAGCACTTCCAAGATCTCCCATAAGATAAGGAGTGCCTGGGACCCGGTTGTACAGATAGCTTTTCTGCCCTCTGCCCAGGCCTGTTTCTACAGTGGGCTTCCAGCAGGACATGTCCTTGTGCTCGTCAGCCGAGGGAGTTTGGGCTTCCCGATGAGGAAGAAGCTCAGGAGGCAGGGCCTACCCATGTCAGCCCCGCACATCTGAACATGCTGTGTTCTTTGCTCTGTACATTAAGCTCCCTCCCATACAGGAGACCTTAAGCACCCGGGAATTTTGCAGTAGTTTTTCAGTAAAAGTCTGATTGTTTACTATTGGCTCTGATTCGCCTGTGGGAAGCTTGGTGGGTAACGGCACTCGTCACCAAGTAATAAGGTGGTGTTGAACCTGAGAACTGTCCCAGCTTCTCTGTGAGCATTTCAAAACCAAAACTGTAGACCAGTCGTCCGAACTAAGGAAACGAGAACCCTGGATGGGTGGTGGCTCCCGTCTGTAATCCTAGCACTTGGGAGGCTGAGCCGGGAGTGGTCAGATAAACTGTCAAAGCTAAGTGAAATCTCTTCCTGGAAGTCAGGCTGCTCCTCCGACGAGCACCTGGCCTTCAGCCTTTCCTTCCGCCCAGCACGAGATTCCTGGAGAAGTGTTCTTCTTTGGGGTCTGTTACCGTGATGGGCTGATAGCACAGTGTCTCTCTAGAATTGTCCCCTTCCCTGAAAGGATGGTGACAGGAGGATCGTGCAGGTCTGAAGCTAACCGAGGCTCCACAGTCCCAGAGCAGCCGAGGCAACAAAAGAGAACAAGGCCCTAGACGTCAGCAGTGCCCTGGGTTTGGAGCTCTAAGCCCCTGCAGGGGACTCTCTAGGATGACCCCGTGACCCCAGGCTGCTGACGTTCCCCTCTGTCCTAGTCGGCTTCCCATTGCCGTGACAGACGCCATGACCAGAAAGCAACTTGGGGAGGAACGGTTTATTTGACATAAGGCATCCTGATCACAGCCCATCGTGAAGGGAAGTCAGGGCAGGAACCTGGAGGCAGGACCTGAAGCAGAGACCGTAGAGGAACGCTGGCTGTTAACTGGCTGGATCCTCATAACTCCCTCAGCTTGCTTTTTTATCCAGCCCTGGCCACCTGGACCGGGATGGCACCACACACAGTGGGCGGGGCCCTCCCACATCACTCACTCATCAAGGCAGTGCCCTCACAGACTTGCCCACGGGCCAATCCGATGGAAGTGGTTTTGTAGCTTAGGGTCCCTCTTCCCAGGTGATTCTAGCTTGTGCTAAGTTGACAAAACCATAACACTAGTCCCTGGATCTGTCAGCTGCAGTCCAGGGCAGGCCAGGCCCAGGAGTAGTTGGCTGATAGGAAACAGACTCCCTGGGTTGTTTTGTTTTGTTTTTTTTATGTGAACTTTTTGTTTTCTATTACTGATTTTCTTTTAGTTTTATGTTTTGATTTTCTTTTTTTTTTCTTTTTGGTCTTTTTTTTTAAGAAAGAGAGAGAAGGAACATAAAGTTGAGTGGGTAGGGAGGCTCTAGCAGGAGTTGGGGGAGGGGAAAGAATATGCTCAAAATGTATATATATTTAAATTTTTTTGTTTGTTTTTGTTTTTTGTTTTTGAGACAGGGTTTCTCTGTGTAGTTTTGGTGCCTGTTCTGGATCTCGCTCTATAGACCAGGCTGGCCTCGAACTCACAGAGATCTGCCTGCCTCTGCCTCTGAGTGCTGGGATTAAAGGCATACGCCACCGCCACCTGGCTATATTTAAATTTCTAATAAAAACTTTAAAAATAATTACGAAGCACAGCCTCCATGTGCAGCCCTCCTCACTGAGAGCAGGCCGGGCCTGGCAACTTGCTTCTAAGAAACAGAATCCAGCAGGAAGGGATGAATGCCACTTCCAGCATCACAGCTCAGAGCCTGGCTTCTGTCATGCCCCTGAGCTCCGGCCCTCACTCACACTTGCTCACTGACTGGAGCAAGCTGCTCTGTCGTGAGTGGCTCTTTGAAGAGGATCAAGCAGCAACCGCCCAGGCAGAATCTGAGATCAAGCAGAAACTGACTCCTGTCAACAGCTCTGGAGTCTGAGCTTGAAGCAGACCGCCACCAGGACCACCTGGGGGAGACTGCAGACCTTGATGGGAGCCCTTGAGAGGCCAGCCCCGGGCTCAGTCACTCCAGTTCCACTACCCCCAGGAACAAAGAGATAATAACGGTGTGCTGTCTTAAGCCACTAATGTTGTTTTAAGCCACTAAATTTCATTAAGCTCTCCGGAGGTTTAGATGAAATCCATGGAGGGATTAGCTCCAGCAGCAGCAAAACTGCCTGAAAGACAATGGGTAAAACCCAAATGAGGGCAGAGCGTGGTGGTGCAGGAATTTAGTCCCAGCACTGGGGAGGCAGGCAGGTGGATCTGTGTGGGTTTAAGGCCAGCCTGGTCTGCAGAGTGAGTTCTAGGCCAAGCAGGTCTGTGAGACTCTGTCTTAAAAAAAAAAAAAAAAAAAAAAGTTAGAAAGAGAGGAAGACATTTTGGCCTCATACAGGGCCTCTATTCCTTCCCCCGGGTAATTTGTCATGTGGCAAAGGGTAACTAACAGCCTTCAGTACTTAACGGTTTCCTAGCGCCAGGGGATGCTCAGTGAAGGGTTAAGGAGGATGTGTGCATTGTTGGGCTGCCAGAGGGACAGTCTACCTTACCCAGCATCAAGGGGGCAAGCAGACCTCTTGGGAGGCATCACTCAGATCTAGGTCTGGGAAGATGAGGGGCTGGAGATGGCTCTCCAGTTAAGAGCACTCACTGCTCTTTCAGAGGACCCTGGCTCATTTCCCAGCACCTATATGGTGGTCCACAAATCATTCATAACTCTAGTTCCAAGGGCCTGACTGCCTTTTCTGGCCTCAGCAGGCACCAGCACACATGTGGTGTACATACACACATGCCAGCAAAATACTCACGTACATAAAATAAATAAATGAAAAATATTGTAAAGCTGGACAGTGGTGGTAGCACGCGCCTTTAATCCCAGCACTCAGGAGGCAGAGCCAGGCAGATCTCTGTGAGTTCAAGACCAGCCTGGTCTACAGAGTGAGATTCAGGACAGGCACCAAAACTACACAGAGAAACCCTGTCTCAAAAAAAAAAAAAAAAAAAAAAAAAAAAAAAAAAAAAAACCAGGAGTTGGGGATTTAGCTCAGTAGTAGAGCACTTGCCTAGCAAGCCCAGGGCCCTGGGTTCGGTCCTCAGCTCTGGAAAACAAAACAAAAAAAAAAAAAAATTGCCAAACTTTTAGCAAGGAGGTGGTCTCCAGTTATGAGCTTGATGTAGGGGCCAGGGAGTCAGCAGCACCTTTTGGGCTCAGGTCATACCCTAGTCCCACAGCCCTAAGTTTCTGTGGGGCAGAGGCTAGAAGGCAGGCCTGGCACACTCCAGGCAAGCACTTTACCCCTGAGCACATCCCCTGACCAAAGACTGGAGATCCGAGCTGACTACGTGTGCTGAGATGAGGGTGCTAATGGTTGTGAAGTCTTTAAACCAGAAAGGGGTGTGAGCGGTTTAGCACTAGGGGCACAGGTCTATTGGATAAAGAGGTGTGTGGTGCACGGCTGTAATCCTTGCACTTAAGGGGTGGAGGCAGAAGGACCAGGAGTTCGAGTGTGAGGCCATTCTGGGCTGCAGGAAATCCTGTCTCAACAGTAGCCAGGCACTCAAGAGACAGAGGCAGGCAGATCTCTGTGAGTTCGAGTCCAGCCAGGGCTACAGAGTGAGGAGGAGTAACAAGAGACCTGGGTCCACCTCAGAACAGGTTTGTGGGACAGGCTGCCGCTGAAGGGCAGGGATTCACTTGGAATTTTTTTAAATGTTGTATATGAGTTGAAGAAATGGCCCAGCGGGTAAACAAACGTTCCTGCAGGGAAGCCCGACAACCTCAGTGCATTCACCGGGACTCTGCACCCCAGAGTTGTCCAGTGACCTCTGCACTCAAGCTCACTCATGGGCGCGAGTGGGGGCGCACACCTTCAATCCCAGCACTTGGGAGGCAGAGGAAGAGGGAAGAGGAGCTCAGTGAGTTCTAGGACAGCCACAGCTACACAGAGAAGCCAACAACAACAGCAACAAAGAATGAACGCCACCAACTCACTTTAATCGAGTGTCTGCAGTGTCCCAGACCTGTGCACCCCAGTTAGTCCACACGATGGCCTGGGTTCTCTGTCCCTGTCACAGGTGAGGGGACCGAGGCAAGCAGCATGTAACCCAAGGTCACAGAGCTTCCAGCAGTGAGACTGCAGTTCACTTAGAAGACAGTGGTCCCCAGAGCCGGAGCTCCTAACCATGTGCTTTGCTAGAATATCCAGGGCAAAGCTAGGGCTGGAAAAATCCAGGCCTCCTGACACCTCCAGGGGCTGTCCTGTTTCTCTCTTTTCTTCATTTCTTTTTTTTTTTTCCTCCTAGGCTGAGGCTGTAGCTCAGTTGGTACAGTGCTTGCCTAGAATGTACAAGGATCTGTGTTCCAAACCTAGCACTATCTACACCCAGCATGGTGACTCGTACTTGTAATCCAAGAACTCAGGAGGTGGAAACAGGGGGGTCAGGAGTTCAAGATCATCCTCTGACACATTTGAGAGCAGTCTGGGCTACATAAGATCCTGTCTAAAACAACACAAGGAAAGTCTGGTATAGTGAAATAATACTTACTGTCAATCTTTCTTTCTTTGTGTCTCTGGGTAATATATGTGTGTGAAGGACTTACGTGGGGGGTTTACATCAGGTATCTTCCTCTGTCATTCTCTACCTTTATTTTTTTATTTATTTATTTTTTTTAGAGGAACTAGCTGTGTAGACCAGGCTGCTCTCAAACTAATGAAGATTTCCCCTGACTGTAGCTCTTGAGCACTGAGATTAAAAACATGTGCCACCATGCCTGGCTTCACCTTTTTAGATTTTCAAATTACATTTATTCATTCATTCGTTTGTTTGTTTGTTTGTCTCTTTGTTGTATATTCTTGAGAGCCGGAGTGTGAGCGCCACAGCGCATGTGTAGCAGAGAGAGGACAACCTGTGGGAGTCCGTTCTCCCCTTCCACCATATGAGTCCCAAGGATCAAACTCAGGTTGTCAGGCTTGGCAAACGCCATTACCCACACAGCCATTTTGACAGCCTTCACCTTACTGAGACAGGGCCTCTCACTGACCAGGAGCTCACCAGTGCAGCTCAAGTCGGAGGCCAGAAGGGCCCCAGGGAGGCTCCTGTCTCCCTGGTGTTGGGATTTCAGCGTGTGCTGCACATCCACCTCCCGACATGGGCCTCAGGGAGCCAAACCCAGATCCTGTTCAGCAAGCACCTTATGAATGAGCTGTCTCCCCAGCCCCTATGGGTCGTGGTTTTTATGTGTCACCTTGTAAAGTGCCCAGAGCTCTTGTCACCTTGTAAACCTGAAAGTCTGAAGCCATTAAACAAGCTGTCCGCTGTTCCGCCCGCTGCCTTACCCAACTTCACTCTGGTATTTACGATCTGGCAGTCCCAGGCGGAAGGTGTTCTATGCTCTCTGCTGTGGAAGCACCTTTACTTAATGTCAACGCGTTGAGTGGTCCAGATGGCCAAGGCCAAGTTCAGAGGAGGCCAAGGTCCCCAAGGGTAGGCTGCCTGCAGAGTGAGGAGGAAAGACAGTAGGAGCTAGTCCAGCACTCAGGAGGATTATGAGTTTGAGGCCAGCCTGGGCTATCTAGTCCCACAGGATGAAGAGACAACGGGGAAATGACTCAGAGATGTTTGGCCTTTGTGGCCTGCCCTTTGGTTTATGACAGCCACCTCAGCAGCGCTGACCTTTGCCTCCATCTTAAGTGTGGAGGCCCTGGACCATCTCACAAAGTTAGTGGCTTACGGAGCAGTTACAGCCTCCAGAACCATGGCCACCAGCCTGCGCAGTCGGTCCTTTCGAGAACCCCGGCCCTGCTACGGGAAGCTCCATGAGTCCCAGGGGAGGCCCCTGGAGGGCCGACTCCACCGGGCACTGAGCCTCAGACAGGGCCGTGAGAAGTCCAGGTCGCAGGGCCTTGCCGGCACAGAAGGGCTGGAGGTCCCTGTTCAGGAGCGGCTGCCAGGGACCCTGGGAGACACCGAGCAGCTGATCCAAACCCAGAGAGAAGGCAGCCAGCGGTGGCTGAGGCAATACCAACAGGTGCGGCTTCAAACTGAATTATCAGTTCTCTGGGGGACGGTGGGGACCCAGGGCAGCGAAGGGTTAAGAGCACAGCTGCCCTGAAGAAAGCCAAGCAAAATACCGGGGGCTTGAACGCATTCTGAAAGCAGCTGGGATTTTCTCTGTGAGCACTGGGGGATCAATGAAGGTGGGAGGAAGGATGGAATGGGGCCTGGGTGGGGTATGGTCAGAACTCCGTGTGTCTGAGATAGGGTCTCACTCTAGCTCTGAGTGGCCTGGAACTCGTGATCCTACTGTGTCCTGAGTGCCGGGAATCCAGGCATGTACCACCATGCCAGCCTTTCAGAGCCGTATCGAGATGAGTAATGTAATACTGTGTTGGACTGGACGGGTGACTACAGCAGGAGGCAAGATTGGCCAATGCAACTTCTGGCAAGTTACTGTCGCTCTCTGACCAGGGAAGAAGAGTAGACTTCCTCACCCCTCCTGGCCTTGCCTCCCCGGGGGCAAGAGTGCCCCCTCCCGCAGGAGCTTGGCCTCTCTTTCGGGGATCTACCCCCACCTGGTGGCCGTGAGTGGAACAGCAGCTGAAGCCCACCACTGAGTTGTTTCCCTTACTTTGGTCTTCCAGCAGGTGAGGAGAAGGTGGAAGAGCTTTGTCGCCAGCTTCCCTGGTGTGACCCTGAATCGACCAGCCTCCCCAGAGACCCTGTTGGACACCAACAGCTAGAGCTGCTGTGATCGCCCCTCACTCCCCCGGCTGGACCCCCGTGTCTCCTCATCTGCTTCTTCACGGCTTTTCTGTACTCTGAACTGCTCTGGCCTTTGGCATGTGACCCACGGAGGTCTCTGTCACGAGATCCTTCAAGGCCTTGTGTGGCTGCCCTTTTTGGTTCTGGCAGCTAGCTCTTAACAAAGACCTCCACAGAGCTGAGGAGAGGGCACTCAGCTCTCTGCCTCCTGGGCTGACAAGTATGAAGGTCTTAGGGACCCACAGAGAAACGGGAGTATCAACAACACTCTTGACCCTACACAGACCAGCCACCCACCTCTAGGACAGAGTTCAGTGAAGCCAAACGCGGCTGAGAATTTCTTGAATATCGCCTGCTCACAGGACCCAGTTCCACCTTGGCCCGCTAGTGACAAGCCAAGACTCGGATCTCCCTCACAGTGAGCCTGCAAAGGCTAGGACCGGATCTGGACTGTCCTCACTATGGCTGCTGTATGCCTGAGAAGCCCACACATGCATATTACTGCCTTGGGCCTCATTGTATCCTGATGAAGGAAGCAGGGAAGTCTCCCTCCCTGTGTGACAGAGGGTAACAGAGGCCCAGAGAAGGAAAGAGACCTTCTGCCTACACACACACACACACCCAGTACCTGACACTGGGGTTGAACACATTAATAAAGCCACTGAACTGAGGAAATTATTTGCCTAGTGACTAACACGTAAACTCTGAACCTCTCCCAGCTCCTGTGAGACAGGAGTCCAGAGTCCAAGGTCTCACTCTGAGAGGGCAAAGGGATCTCCTAGGGCCACACGGGGAGAGGGTCTGAGCTCTTGGAAAGGTATCAGGCCTTCTGGTGGGTCCTGTGAGTTCTTCAGGTTCCGGCCTGATCACTGAGGGCTTGGCTAAGTCCAGGAGATACAGTGATGGGCTCCTTGTTTTCTCAGAGCTTAGAAACCTGGCAAGACTACCCAAGCACAGAAGAGGTCCTGGGCAATATGTGTCCTTGGCAGCCATTGGGAACTTGGCCTAGAAGCTAGACTGTGGGAACAGAGTTGAGACTTTAAAAATTATTGCATTTTTATCTGTGTGTGTGTGTGTGTGTGTGTGTGTGCGCGCGCGCGCGCGCATTCATGACAGTGCACACGTGGAGGTCTGAGTTGGTTCACTCTTTTCACTGAGTCCTGGGGTTGGATCTCAGGTCATCAAGGACACACAGCGAGTGCTTTTCCTACTTAGCAATCTTGCCAGCTCTATTTGTTTATTTGGAGGCAATGTATCTTATAGCCTCAAAGTCACTAGAAAGCCAAAGCCGGCCTTGTGCTCCTGATCTTCTAACCTCTCCCTCCCAGATGCTGGAGTTGCACACATCTGACTCTTGACCTTCTGGCCTGGCCCCTGGAACAGCTTTTCAGGTTTCAGATTTGGGGTCATTGTTACAGAAGACAGCAATCTCAGGGGTTTGGGGGATTTCACTGCCACACAGTAAGATGGGACATTATCACTCTGAATCACTGACCAGGGAGTAGGGGTTCCAGCCACAGCCTGTCCCGACTAAAAGCACATAGCAGGGCAAAGCTGCCTCTCCTTGCACTTACAATGCACGGCCCTTCTCGGACGGCGCTGGCTGCATTGTAGGTGCCCGGGGAATATTTATTGCACATGGATCAGCATGGACAAAGGCTGGAGATCAGACAGGCTATGGTGCAATTTGGGAGCACAAACTGCTGCAAAGGTCTTAGACACACCAATGCCCCTGGATCAAGCCCCGCGTGTGTTTGCCGCAAATGACCCCTTTCCCTGCTTCCCACGGCCTCCCATGTGCCTGCTTCATGCTTTGCCCGTCCTTCACTTCCATTGGTTGTACAGGCCGCTGAGAAGGACACAGCCTCAAGCCAGTCTCTGTAACAGCTGCCTAAACTCTCCTGCACTTGAAGCCTCAGTTTCCCCATCCATCAAAGGAGACGACAACCTTACCTTGCCAAATTCGATGAGGTGACAGGAGGAGGCACAGGGACCGTACTGAATTGGACCAGAACCATGGTCAGGCTGGGCTCAAATCTGACTAACGAGAGCTGGGGTGACAAAGCTTGCTGGCTGTGGGTGGGGGTACCTCCTAACCAAGTAGCTAGCTACCTCGTGAAAGACACACATTCTCCACCTGCCGGTCTTCTTTGTCGTATAGGCACGTGTGAAGGTTGTGGCATCCAAAGGCCTCCCCGGTGTAATGGTCAGCATGGCCAATCAGAGGCACAAGCCGGGGCCTGGCACTCACTCGCCCTCAGACAGCATCTATCACAGACCGAGAGTCCGGCTCCCAACCTGCTCCAGGGTAGCAGAAAGAAGATCTCAGGGTAGCAAGGGTTTAGGAAAAAATCTTGTCTGAGGGCTAGACCTTTTCTGCTGAGGGAGAAATAAGAAACACAGACACTTTCTGATGGTAACGTTCTCTTTACTTCATCTTGAAAAATTCTCTCTGAAAAATCTCCCCACAGCTTCCTCCTTAGCTCTTCATCCTTCTCTTTCTCTACTCAGCAGCTTCTCTAACTCACTTCCACTGCCTCCACATCTGTCTCTACACCGTTCCTCTGCGCTCTCGCTCTCGCTCTCGCTCTCGCTCTCGCTCTCGCTCTCGCTCTCGCTCTCGCTCTCGCTCTCGCTCTCGCTCTGCTCTACTCTGCTGCTCCTCCTCAGCCCCTCTACATCACTCCTGCTCTGTTCCACAGTCAACATCTGGACAATTTTAAGTCACATTTTCAGGGCCCTACCCATTCTCAAAACACAGGATAAGTCACATCGTTTCCCTTAGGCTAGTAATGTCACATTGGCCCATGCACATAGCTCTAAGCTGGTGAGGGGTCCCAGACATAAACAACTGGCTGAACCTTGAGCGGCCAGGACACCGGCAGAAAGGGAGCTATTGTTGAAGTAAACAGCCTGGCCTTGATTTAACAATAGACAGCACCTGGGAATTAGTCTCTGTAGCGGCAGCTCAGTCTGCTTTGGATTAGTTCTAAGGTCTTTGCAAAATGTGTAAAATTCTTTGAGACTGAGACTCCTATGTCAGCCTGAGTAATGTAAAATATTTCAGTATTATTTCTATACATCAAAATTATATAACTTAAATAGAAATCATCTTCCTGAACATCCACAGTTATATGTGTGCCCAAAGATATAAAAACACACTACCAAAGGGCTGTGGAAGGAACCCCACAGCTGTTCTCATTAGGGAGGCATAGCAGTGGCATCTGAGAAAGTGACAGAAAACAACCAGTTTCCACGACCAGTGACCCCATAGCTTCGCCAGGTGGGGCTCCCCATCACACACATGTGGTGGGTCAACTTGTCAAACACTAGTTGTCACCTGCTGTATGCTCCCACAGCCCTTGGCTAGCATCTGTCCAGCTTTCTTGCTCTACATCCTCTTAACTTTCAGTTCCCCATTTATTTGCTCTGCTTCCTCTGGCTTCTGTGGAAAGAGGCACTCGGTCCATGTCCAGGGCTCTCGGCTCTCACCGTTTACAGCTGGTAGGCTGGGACTCCACTGTATTCCAGACTGCCCTGCTTGCCTTCTGGTCCTCAAGCAGCCTCTTTTCAATCTGCTCAGTTCTGGGGAACACATTTCTCATCCAGCAGGGTTCCATCAGTGCTCCAGTCCTCAAGTAGTTCACAGTGTGGCTCTGGATCACAGACAGCTGCTTGATGCTCTGCTACAAAACGGAATTCACTGGGACAGCATGGGGACACAGGAGGCCTGCTTCCTGCACCAGGGCTGGGCTCTGGCCCTGACTGGGCATCTTCTTCAGCTTCCTGCAAGAAAGGAGGCTGGCAGCAGGTTGGGGAAGAAATCCTGCTGGGGAAATGGGGCCTCTCGGCTGCACTAATGGAAAAGCAGTGAGGCGCACAGAAAACACTGTGTCCCCAGCATCTCTCAGGGCAGGCTGTGGGTCTGGACAAGGCTATTTATCTTACAGATGAGGAGAGTGAGGCCCCAGTGAGCCAGAGCGGCTGCTCCCAGGTCAGAGCTTATGTGGCCTGTGCTGGATGTCCAAAACTCCTCTCTGAGGGAGACAACGGGATGCAGTGTGGGCAGACAGTCAGAGGAGCTGAGGAGGCCAGGGCCTGGGGGTCAAAGCCTCCTTCCTGCAAGTAACTCACTCTGTAGCCCACGCTGGTCTCCAACTCACAGAGATCCACCTGCCTCTGCCTCCCGAGTGCTGGGATTAAAGGCATGCACCACCACCGCCCAGCTCTCTCATGTGAACACATGACACAGCACACAGGTGGATGTCAGTGAACAACTCTGTGGAGTAGGTTTTCTCCTTCCATCTTTATGTGGGTTCCAGGGAACAAATTCAGGTCGCCAAATTTGCATGGTAAGCACCTCTACACAATGAACCTCATCAGCCCACTCTCCTCTGGTTTTAACTGTCTCTTTTGTAAAATGAGCATGATGATCCTTTGGGGTTCTATATCCCAAGAGAGAACCCTTACATATACCCAATTTGCCCTTATCATCAAGTTAGAGAACAAAGTGTGTAAAATGTTCAAGGTCAGGGGTGCGGTGGTGTGTTTGTAATCCCCGTACTGGGGAGGCAGAGACAGGAGGATCCTGGGAACTCATTGGCCAATCAGCCTGGCCTAATGCATGAACCATGGGTCCCAGTAAGAAACTGTGTGTCAGCTAGATGTGGTGGTGAGTGCCTTTAACCCCAGCACTCAGGAGGCAGAGGCAGCCAGATCTCTGTGAGTTCAAAGCCAGCCTGGTCTACAGAGTGAGTTCCAGGACAGCCAAGGCTACTTAGTAAGACCTGCCTCAAAAAAGAAAAAAAAAAAAAAGCAGCCCTGTATCAAAAGACAAGGCGATGGCCCCTGAGGGAGGGACAACACCTGAGGTTGACCCCTGACAGATGAACGTGTACACGCACGCACGCACGCTCACTGCCAGACAGAAGGTGAATTCTGTTTCTACTCCTTGCTGGCTGAGTGATATCAAGCAGGTCATTCAACCTCTCTGTGCCTTGGTTTCCTTATCTGTTGAATAGAAGTAAGCGCCCTCACTTCCCACAGGGTCGTTGGATTCCGGGAGTCAATACATGTAAAGCATCAGAGCTGTTAATGAGCCCAGGGTTCACCCGTTCCAGACAGGTCTCCACATACAACTAGGGCCAGAGCACTTCCTAAAACTCACATCCACCTCTGGGAAATGAGTTTTGTAACAGCTCCCGGCTGGAGGCACCCGGGGTTGCAATGGGCCGAGCACACGCTGTGCCCCACAGGGCCAGCCTCTGGGAGTGCCTGCCCTAGGCACGCCTTGAGGAAGCCTGGCACTCAAAGCCTGGCGTGTGTCCTCAGTTCACCTTGGCTGTGCCTTGTGCCTGGCCTTGGCAGGGCTACGGGTGCCAGGGAGAAGCTTTCAGGATCTGGGAGAGTGGGCCCAGCAGGCCGCAGACCAGATGGCAGCTCTGGACCTCCCAGGAGGAGTCTGCCTTCAGTGCATGTGCGGGAATGGCTATGGCAGGAAGGCAGACAGCGGCTCCTCTCTGCGCCCTCCCCACTCTGCCTGCCACTGGCCATCCTGCCCCACCACAGCTCCAGGACAAGCAGGCAACCCACGCCTACGTGTCCAAGGCTCACCCAGCACTGAGGATCTCAGACAGGATGAGAGCCCACCCCAAGCTCCCCTTGA